CCACCTTTAAAGTAGGAACAATGTTCACACAGCCTAGTGAGTGGGCTGTGAGACATTGTTTGGTGGGCAGGAGTGGGGAAAGGTAATACTTATTATTTTATGGCAAAATCATGTCGTATCTACAAGACAGAGCACAGATACTCATGGATGAGAAGAACACTTCTAAAAGCAGGAGGAAAAACTGTAAACAGTGTGACAATAGGCTACAGTGTTGTTCCAGAGGCAAGGAAATGCTTTGTAGGCAAAAGACTTAGTGAACTCAATCTACTTTTTTTACCTAAAAGAAGACTGAGAGATGATTGGATTAGAGCATAAAATGCCTTCACGGGGAGAGGTGCTGGTTACTGAAGGTTTATTTTTTTAATCTAGGGAAGAGAAGCATAACAAAAAATGTGATGGAAACCAAATAAATTCAAATTAGTTAGTAAGCATGAATGCTAACAGTGAGCATGAATAGTTACTGTAGTAAGGTATGAAGGGAAACAGGATTTTTCCCTTTCTTGAATGTTTTTTAAATCAAAGGTAGATGCCTTTCTGGAAGATTCGACTTAGCTGCATGTAAACACTCACTGTTGGTCTTTCTACAGGATAACTTCTTTAATTTCTGTTTCATAAGCTAAACAGATTGAGCTCTTTAAGCCTTTCACAGGAAGGCATTTTCTGCCACCCTCAAATAATGTTTGTGGTTCTTTTCCACACGATTTCCAAGTAGCGTGCAATACGCGGAAGGTCAGACTGGATGATCTAAAGTCCCTTCTGGCCTTTATATTCTCTGAATCTCTGCCTCTGTGAATTCATTAATGTTTGCAAGCTCCCAGAGAGCTGCCAAAGGCAAGCACTATAGAAATGCAAAGCATTGTTGTTTCTCTGCATATTTCCCCTGAGCTTTATGCAGAGTTGGTTGAATATCGCAGGGTCTGGTCTGTGCGTGTTGCCTCAAATGAAATACCTGCGTTCCGCGCTCCTTCGGCGCCCTTTGCGGCTTGATTTTCTGCGGCTGTTGTAACAAAACAAGTTTATTCCCGAGTTAGGACACAGAAAAGGCAAATGTGAAGGGGCAAATCTCTGCTTGGAGCCCCGAGCAAAGAGTGGCACGTTGTTGTCCTGGCCCAGCAGCTCCATGCAAGGCAGAGTTATTCTTAGCATCACGCTTTGCTTTCTCCTTGGCTCCAGGTGCCCTGCACATGGCGTCTGCCTGGCTGCAGCACAGCATAACAGTGGGAAGGAGAGATCTGACCCCTGTTGTTTGCTTTTTCCCCCATCCTCTACGGGGAGAAAAGCTGTGGGTATGCTGCCTTGTCCCCAGATTTCCAGGGCTCCTACAGATGGGAAGAGCTCTCCGAAATGACACAGGAAATCTTTATTTGCTTGCACTTCATTCTGTAACCGTCCTCATTGGGGAATGCTTATTCTTTTGTTTGTATTGTTCTTGGAGGGAGGGCTTTTTGGTCCTCAGAAATCCCATGCTAGGACTTGCACTTATCTGATCAGAGGATAGAAGCTGACCCTCTGACCTGTGCTTCCAGTCAATACTGGCAAACGCTCTTCAAGCCAGCGCAGCAGTCTGCTGATGAACAAGATACTGAAGAGGAATTCTATTTTATACATTTTATATGTTATATATACATATTTACATGGTTATATATGGTGTTATATGTGTGCATGAGTAGATAGGTAGGCAGGACAAATACATTTGCCAATATAAAATAATAATCAAATTATAATAATCAAATTGCAGAAAATTACAGCCTGCTCCCAGATAGTTCATGAACTGAAAAAGCCTGGAGTCATCAAATGAGTGTGTTGGCTTTGCTTTTTTTCTGCTCTGTGTTTCTGGTATTATATGAACTGCTTAGCAGTATCTGTGTGCACTCCTCTACCTACATGGCAAAATTAGACTAAACTATGTGTCATAGACACCATACTATTAAACAATAATGGTGACTGTCTTGCAGCACACACCTTTTTAGCAGCACAGATGCTTCAGCTCTTATCGGATTAAGAGTATCTGGGTTCTGTTCCCAGTTTCTCTCTGAAGATCAGCCTGAGACTAACAGGGTGACTTGAGTATAGCAGTGTGAGTACGGTGGCACAAGGGTTTGCTTGTGGTGGGGCTTAACATCTTTTGTGGTTCCACATGCGTCAGGATGAGCTTTTTCTCACAGGATGAGAATGTGATGAATTGTGTATGCTTAGCACTGAAAGTGGCAAAGTGGGGAATTTAAACTTCTTAGCTGTGTGTGATAGACCAAGCCAGTGAACAGCTGGTGGAGAGACTCTTTTAGCTCCAGGGGTGACAGCTTGTGTACTTGGGGTGCAATAGGATTAGACTGCAATTTCCATCCATTTCAAAATAACCTTGCTCAAGAGGGTCAGGAATCTGGAGATGTAGGAAGCCATAGCTCACTATTTGTTACATTATGTTCTAATTAAAAAAAAAAGGCTTTTGGAATCAAATTTGACCTGAATATAACTCCGTTGGCTTCTGCGTTCTTACACTAGGGATTAATTTGGCCCTTTCTACTTTTATGTAATGAGCTGATTGCCACAGTATCTTATCCTTGTTACACAATCACCCTTGTCTGGCTGTGTCCCTGGAGCACGGGGTGTGTGTGTTTCTAGATCTGGGGTCTCACCTTGACTGTGTGTCTAGTCCTAGAGCCTCACCCTGAGTTACACTGATATACTGTATGTGTGTGTGTGTGCATGTTCATTCCAAGTTCCAACAGTGTGTACAAACCAGCGTATATATATGGGAATTGAGGGGCTTTCTTGTTTGGCTGGCTGTATCCCTGTGGTGTTTGCTTTTGCAGGGGGCAAGGAGAGAGGGAATTTTATTATCAGAGATCTCATTTAAACAAGAAGGAGCATAGGAAAATACATTCTTTATTATTATTCTGTAACAACAAGCCAGAAATATAATATACCTTTAAAAATTTTCTGTCTCATGCCAAAGAAACCTCCATTCAATCATTTTAGAAAATCTTGTCGCTCTCCCTCAAACGGTAACAAAAAAGAAAAAGGAATTACAAGTGCCATCTGTTCCCTGCAAGAAATGTGCCTGTGCCACAGGTGGGTGTGTGGGGAAGGGGAGTAGAGGGGAGCAGAAGGGATGTTTCTGGTGGCCCTGCCAGCCCCTAGATCGCCCTGGCGTGTGTTGGACCTGCCTGCCCCAGAATACCATTTCCTGAGTGCAGGCACCTGCATGGAGCATTGGTGCACCTGTCTGCACCAAAGGGTGTGTTCAGGGGGGTTTCCCCCGTGTCTAGCCATGCCTGCAGGGATAACAGGAGCCCCTGTCTCCACACACCAAAGGAACCCATTGGCTGAGCATGCAAGGAGCACTGGGTGTCATTCTGTATCCAGCATCCCACAGGAGAACTTTGTTTCGGACTGCGCTACCGTGTTCCCTGGTGTGCCTGTGGACAGGGCAGCAGCTCAGTCACACCAGGGCAGCCTGTTTTCCAGGTATGCTAGGGAAGGGAGGAAGAGCCTGTTTGCAAACAGTGGCGAGAAGAGGGCATTTCCCAGTGAACCCAGTTACTCAGCTCTGCGTGTGAGAGGTCCTCATCCTTCCCAGCACAGTATTTGCTTTCCAGTGGGACTCCCCATAGCAGCCAGCCTCCATATTTCTCAGCAGCACTCAGTTCTCTCCTTTCCTGGGTGGGTTTCTAAACATAGCAGTCCCTTGTCTAGGGTTGAGATAAATCCAGACTTTCTGCTGTATAAATTAAAACAAAAAAGGAAAGGATGGGCAAGGTCATCATCAGCCCCACAACACAAGATATAGAAAATATTATTAGCAACAAAGAAAAATTGGTCAGGGCTGGAGGAAGTCACAGGGAAGGTGCAGGGAAAGGAGGGTTTCATCCCCTCAACCCCTGCAGTGTGCCCTGCCTTTCTCCCATTCATTTTACCTCTGGTCTATTCCCTTTAAAACAGTCTCTCACTCTCTTGCTCACTCACACACATACATACACACACACACACATATATAGATCCCATTTGTTTTGTGCAATATTTCACCATTATTTGATGCAAGTAAAATATAGATCTATAAATATACCACTCTGACTCAAGTCCCATTTCAAGTATGATTGTGGAGTCCAGTATGGTAAAGGGAGAAGTTCCCCTGAGAGGGAGGTTGGGGAGAGGTTTGGATCCAGCAGGCAGAGTCTAGTCCTGGCTTGCTGGGAATGTGGAGCAGCAGTGACACGCATATGGAGTCTGCAGTGCACCAGTTCTGCCCTTCAGAACGGGCTACACTTGGAGCAGATGGGATGGTTGTAGTGGCTATACAGTGTATGGGGTGAGAGTCCTTCCTCCTCACATCTTGCCAGCCCCCTCCTCCTCTTCCTGTTCCTCCATGGCAGCCTTTTCTTCTGCTTCCTGAAGAACGTCCTCCCCTGTCCCATGCATTCCTGTGTCGAAGGAAAGTCATGCTTAAACAGTTCAGAGCATCCTGTCTCCTTGCCTCTGGTGACCCTGGGTAGACCAGGAGGGATTTTGCCACTTCCAGGCTTTGATTAAAGATGTTGTGTGCCCGGGGGTCAGTACAACCACCTGTCTGGGGCCAGAAGGGGGTGAAGAGCCAGCGTGCATTGCTTCCACAGGGATCCGGTCACAGCGAGCAGGAGGGCTGTGAGATGTCCGAAGGCATCGGGATTCAGATGGAGCAGGTGGAAGAGGTGATGTGCCCTGGCAGGGTCCACCTGCAGTGCATGCTGGGCTCTGAACACAGGTTGCCAGCAAAACACCCTGCAAAGCTGGGCTGGCTGCCAGCTTGTTTCCTGATGGCAGGGATCACACCATCCACAGGCACTGTGGATGCATGACCTCCGGTGTCATCTTCCTCGCCCAGGAATACCCACTGTGACGGGTTAGAGCAGGTTACCATGGCAATGTGCGCTCTCCCCTGGAGACAGCATTTTATCCCACTTCCAGTGATACAAAATGAGTCCTTATGTCGAGTTCCTTTCGGGTTTTTTTTCCCCTCTCACTTTTTCTTTTTTTTTTACCTGTCAGGTCAGAATGAGCAAAGACTAATAGGAGGCACTGCAGTCTGAGGGCTTTAAAGTCTGACTGGGGGAAGTCACCCTACATGACAGTGGCAGTGTGCGCAGTTGCGCGTGTGGGCACGCTCGTGTGCAGCTGTGGATGGCGTCAAACACACCAGTGATGGTGAAGGGAGTGTGTGTGGGCTGTGCTGCCTTCCATGCCAGACCCTTCCTGGGCTCTCCCACACCTGCCACACTGTGATCCAGGTTTCAGCCTTCAGCTCAAGACCCCTCAGAATTGCGCCCACGCTTTTCAGTCAGCTCAGCTGCATCACCCTGCTCCACACGCTGTGCTGGCCCCTCTGCCAGCCATGCCAGTTGTGTGACTTCTTCCCCTGACACCTTTCCCCAGGCTCACACTACTCAGCGTGGCTTACGCTACTGAGGCTGGTAAGCCACCTCCTCCTCTAGTCTTTCCTGATGACCCAGTTCTACTCTGCCAGCCAAACATTTCTAAATGGAGGCTTCGTATCCTTACCTTCTCCATTTATCAGAGAAAACATAAAACAGATAAGAAGAATACACCTTATTTTTTTCACAGACTCATGCTGTAATCTCAATAACTTTGCCTCTCTCTGCCGTCTCCTGCCAGTTTCCACTGGCTCTGCACTAGGGCTGAGATGTCTCTGTTAGCTCCTCAGTGGCAGTGTACATGTATTTTGTCTGAAGCAGAAGGCGATATGCACTGCTGTGATCAGGGTAAGGTGAAGTGGCTGAATGTATTCAACACACAGAGGGCAGATCAGCATGGGCATGTGTGGCTCTGCATGTGCAGGTGGGGTGACAGGATATCTGGAACTGTGGCTGGCTGTGTGTGCGTGTTGGGATCAGAATGAGTCAGTGTGTGTGTGTACAGGAGGGTGACTCCTTGTCTGTGCACCTGTAGGAGATGACATGTGTGTCAGCTCACAGATTTGGACTTGGTCAGGAGCAAAAAGAGGGACACTGTGCTCCTGGCAGTGTGTTAAAGTGACACAGGTTATCTTTCCACCTTTAAAAATGAGAAGGGAACTCTCCGACTGACTGTTGTCCTACCCTGGGGACCTTCCCTCCCTTCTGATGTAAGGAGCACTGACTTGCAGGTAGTGACCTTAACAGTGAGGCATGGACACTTCTGGTGTCCTGCTTCCCACACAAGCTTTCACAGAGCTGCTCTCGGTTTGCAGAGAACTCTTGACACGATACAGGATGACTCAGGACTGAAGCTGAGAGAACAACACAGGTTCCCAGAATGTGCCAGCTGCCTTTGCAGCAGGCATGTGAGGGAAGCTCTGTGCAAGGGCATGAGGCACAGCAAGCACTCAAGGTCTGACTCTACTTTATTTTGTCTGGGAGGCCCCAAGGGTGAAAGGGCACAAAATGGGCCTGGGGCAGAGGGAAAGAAATTGAGCCAGGTGCCCTGACCCCCCAGAAGCGTGTTGCACTACTTGGGTGAGTGGAGCAATAGCACAGTCTGTCTCTCTGTCTGGGAAGATGTATTTTGGGAGGACCCCATGCTTGACTGCTCTCAGATACCTTTTTTCATCGCTGTCCCTTCCTTCCTAGAAGAGTTTCACGCCACAGAGGAGATTTGTTTTTGTTCTTCATGTTCACCTTCTGTGTCACCCATGAGCGGCTGCCTCTTCTTCAGCTCCCGGTGGTACTTGGCCATGAGGGAGGCATAGATGCAGCCGTAAGCAGCTGCCACCACCATCATGATGCAAACGATGCCGCAAACCACCCCTGCAATGATCACAGTGCCAATGGCCCGGCGCACGCTCACGGGCCTATATCGCTGTTTCTGAGGGCATCCCACACTGGGTTCCACTTCTGTTTCTGGGCCTGATTTAGATTTGGAAGGAGTTGGGCTGCCTTTAGTGCAGGGTGGGCCAGTATTGTCCAGCACGGTAGAGCTGTTCTCATCATCCAGCTGGGAGCAGTAGTTAAACATCTCCATGGGTACCATTCGCATATCCTTCCCTTTCAGCTCCTTGGGCAGGGTACATGCCAGCTGGTCAATTTTGCCACCTGTTCCGATAGAGATAACAGGAGTGAGTCACAGCTTCATCCTGTGACAGTGACAGCAGAGATAGATCCTGAGGTGGGGTGAGTTCATGGGCCCCCTTTCATGTCTGCTAAGTATTTTCCCTGCAGAAGTTTCAGCCATGTCAGCTGGCTGATACGATTCTGCCTAGGCTGGATTCCACACTAGAGCTCATGGTGCATGATACGTGCACAGACATCTTTCAGGCCAAGACATGAAAGCCCTCTGAAACCGTTTATTAAGTCAGCCCCATATTGTTTAGTGAGTTATGTAAGTGTCAGCAGAACCGTTTTATAAAAGGAGAAATAAAAGCAAAAAGATAGGACCAGGCTGTGTCTTCTCAAAATAACAACAGATACATGGTCCCATCTTCTAACAACAAATCCATCTCTGTGAAAATAGTGACAGATGACGAAACAAATGCCTAAGTGAACTTGGGCATTTTCTTTGGAAGGGGACTTAAAAAACAAAGTTACCTCTGTGTGCTTTCCATTGGCATATCATGTGATATGGGAGTCAAGAAAGAAAACAAACCAAAAATGAAAAAAAGAGGACAGTGGCACTTGTATGCTTGTTTGATTCTGCTCACACAAATGCATATTTCAGACTGCAGTGTAGCCATAGGCAGAGATAATCTTCTTGCAGCATGGCTGTGATCAGCAGGGATGTGACAGCTGACTGTTGCTATCCGCATGATTTGAGACCCTTTCCTACTCATTGGCTCCAGCAACAGAAGGTCAGGCCTTCAGTCGTCATTCCTGTAAAATGTGCCATCTTTTTTTGAGTTGCAGCTCCTAAAAATATGTCATCCCATCAGCATTCCCCATAAGTGATATGTACCTTTCAGCCTTCTCTGTTTCAAGGAAAAGGTGGAAGTACAAACTTGTCAAAAACTGCTTGCTTTAAAATGATAATTTTATAGCCAGTCTGACTTGGGGCCTGGCTTGTAAATTTGAGCTTTCAGTTTAGGTTTGCCAATATTAGTTGGAGTGTTTTTCCTAAGTAGCACCTTTGCCTATGGTTCTTTTGTTGGCAGAAAACCTGATGCTTTATAGCCAAATCTGACTTTTAGTTCTCTTGGCTTAAGAAAGATAATGGGATGGCTATTTTCAAGTGTGAAAAGCATTTCTTCTCTAGGCAGAAAGGGTGAGGCGAACTCATAATCCTAAAATTTTGATGTTACTTGGGGAAAGTTCTTTCTTCTCTCAAGGTTAAAAAAAAAGGGAGGGGGAGTAATTGTTCAGATTAGAAACAAAACAAGGAAATAGGAGATCTGGGGCTGCAGAGGACTCCCCAGCCTGGCAGTGTTGTTATACAAATGTGCAGTGGCATTAAACCGTAGTATGGTTCTCATACTGTTTGGCTAAGACCTGTCATTCGGGTCAGCCTGACCTGACAGATGTATCTGCTCGTGTTTCTCCCCTGCCTTTGTTTGCCCTTCCGTGGAAGACCAGACCAGAACTTCCGCGCTTTCACTCCCGCAGTGCGAGCACCTACCTCGGTAGGAGAACCACTCCATCCAGTGCTTGAAGTCTCGGAGGTTGCAGTCACATTCCCAGGGGTTATCCCCTACTTGGAGTAGCTGCAGGCTGGTTAGCGGTTCGAAGGTCACCCTGTCCAGGCTCTGCAGGCGGTTGGACCTGAGGGAGAGGGAGCGGAGAGCAGGCAGGTCGTCAAAGATTCCCGAGGGGATCTGGGCCAGGCCGTTGATGGAGAGGTCCAGCTGACGCAGCAGGGCCGTGTGTTGTAACAGGTCCTTGTCCAAGGCCCGAATGCTGTTGTTCCTCAGCTGGAGCTCCGTAAGGTTCCCCAGGTCACTGAAGATGTTCTGAGGGAGCTGGTCCAAGAAGTTGTTGGATAGATCCAGCCTCTGTAGAGCGGAGAGGTTGGAAAACACCGCTCCTGGCAGGATGCTGAGTTTGTTGTTGAGAAAGAGGAAGGTCCTGGTGTTTGTGGGGATGTCTGAGGGAATGGAAGAGAGGCCCAAGCCACTACAGTCCACTTCCAGGTTGCCACTGTTACACTTGCAGGAAGAAGGACAAGCAAAGAAGGACTCAGCAGCACACAGCGAGAGCCAACAGCCAAGCACTGGTGGGTGAAAAGCAGGGAAGAAAGAATGCATGTATTAGAGCAGTGCTTTCCCACCCTCACCCTCACACCTTGAGCACAGCTACGACCACAGTACAACCCTCACAGCAGGACCCTTCGCTGCAATGCCCTGCATTGAGTGTAATGAGTTTCCTCACAGCTCCATCCCTTTACTGCTGGCCTGCACCCTCACACTGTGACTTTCCTCTTAGCCTTTCTTTTTCATGAGCAAGTAAATATCCTTCCAGTTTCACAAAGAAGTTAGAACAGTGCATCCCAGAGGACTTAGCTGACAGATACTGGAGCACTGGTACCTGTCAGAGAATGGAGCAGAGAGCAGTGGGAGGTGTCACCTCTGATAAAGGACAACTTTTTCTAAACAGCCAGGGTAGAGAGAGGAGGGACGAGTTTACATTTAAGAAGCTCTATTTTCTTCAGGAATAGACACGTTAATGAAGAGCTTTTAAGAAAAAGGAAAACAAAACAACCTACATCTCATTTGCGCTCCTGCAGTTTGAATTCTAAGATTTGTGATAGATCAGACTCAGGTTCTAAGTTAGCCTCTGCATCAGGGTGTTGTTTGTTTTACCATATTCAAGTGTGTCGTGTGGGCCTTGTGTCCACTTTTAATGAATTAGATTACATTACAAAGGGATGACCAAGAAAGCTGGTAAAAGTAAGAAGTCCCTGGACTGGACACCTGGAACTTGCCACTGCTCTCAAAACAGTTTCATGATCCTATAGCAATAGCCCCAGAAGTACCTCCTCTGACTAAAATTGCCCACAGCAATGGAATAAGGAAAAAAATTGGAGGTTGGTAACTGAAGAAAGGGGTGTTAGGAAAAGGGTTACCATGTGCACCCTTTCTCCTTCAGTGTCTCAAACTTAAGATCAGACAGTCCACAAATCTGCATTTCTTTAGAGGCTGCTCTGGATCACCATTCTAGACATGGGTCCAGATCCTCCTAGTGGAATCAGGACACTTGTTACCAACCCTCCCTGGGTGCCAGTGGCTTCTAAAACTCTCCTTTCTGTGACAAAGAAGCAATAGCAACAGGAAAGCGAGCTTTGTGCCTCCTGTCATTAGAGGAGTGGGAGTTATGTTTAAGCAGACTATGTAAAACATTTGCATCCTTCATCTTAATTCCTTTCATGGAGTTGAGCTCGCACAATGAATTCCACAATTTTTCAATGTGGGAAGCAAATTCAGCTCCCTCGCAGTTTTTAAGGTGACAAGTTTAAGCATTTGCCTAAAACTGAAGCAGGTTTGTCTGTATGTCATGCCCTGTCCTCTCCCTTTCTCACTTTTCTGCAGAGAAGGCAGTGACTTAGGGGTCACTTTTAGGGGTCTTTTTAGGGGTGAATAGTAGCTAAGGTGGATGCATTTATTGTCTAACCATTCTTTCCTAAACTGGAAATCAGTTTCTTTTGTCCTGCTTTTTTTCAAAGAACCAACACGCAGGTATTTTGCTTCTTAACCCTAAAGGGATTGTGAAAGGACTGCCACAAGAGAGGGAGCCAATGGAGACACAAGCTCTGGAGCAGCTCTCCTTGGAACAGTTCTGAAGTCAGCCATGCTCTTCCGCTCTTCCCCTGTACCACTCTCTAGAGCTCAGTCTGACCCATAGCCCATTTTTTACATCGACTTGGCTTCTGTCAGCGAGGTGCGTTCATACTCAAACCCTGTCATCCTGCATAGGGTGTTTTTTCTGTTCCCAGAGATCCTTGTGTGAAGTGGCAGATTTGTAGACTGGTAGCCTAAGGAGAAGTACCCATTTTGGATCCTAAGCTATATAACTTTATCAAGGACCAAGGGATAAGCATTCAGAGAGAGTGTCCCAGCTCTCTCTTATTTTATCCATCTTTCTCAACCCTTCAAGAATTTTTGGCTATCCTACAGTTGAGAGCTCAGGTGTACATCAGCCCAGGCCATGCCAGTATGTGTGACCTTTTAACGATAATCATGGATCCTTATGGCGAAATACAAGACAGATCTTTACCCTGAGCACCTCTGTGCTCTCTTGGCATGCAAATGTTGGGGTTCACAGCAGAGATTGCCATGAAACCAGATTGTACCCTCTGGACTTGCAGTACAGGTACTGACTGGCTGGCTGATATTTAATTCTGTTCAGAATACGTCACAGCCTTGTTGTAGGAAGAGAATTAAAAGAATGGGAGCTAGAATGGGGAAGGGAGAGAGCCATGAGTCACTCAAGTGACCCCGTCTTTTTCCTAGATGCTTAACAAAAGCACAGTATTAATAATAAATTGACAGCTGTGATGATGAGATAACACTTAGCTGCTTTGTACACCAAGAAAGGCAAGAGCAGACCCTGTGTAATGCTATACAGGTGGCATTCTGCTCAGGGCTTATCTCTCAAAATGCCTGCCCGCCTCCGGCGCCGACTGGGTGGCTGTGGGGTTCCACCAGTGTGTGTGCTGGCAGCGGCTGGTAGGAACAAAGTCTCAGGCAGCTGGCTGTGGTTATGTTCAGGAAATGGATTTGTGCCAAGTTTCTGCAGCCATGTATGGGATATGCCAAAAATGTCTTGTTGTTACCCATACATTGCTGTATGCTTTTGGAAATATTTTACTAAGATCACAGAGAGAAGAGAAAGCCTGATTTCATTTTCGTCTCCTTGCAAGAAGTGCATCACACTGGGATGTGAGCTGAGACCAAGGAATTCATTGCACTGGTTAGGATGCAGCTCCATGGGAAAGAGAGGCAGAGAAGCCATAGACAAAACTTGGAGATGTCTTCCAGCCCTATGGAAGGATGAGTAATATGTGTTTTCGTGTTAGGGGCATATGAAGTTACTTTGTGAGGTGTTTGGTGACTCTAGTAGGTGGCAGAAAGCTGATGCAGGTATATCAGATTAAGTCAAGACTCAATAGCATTCATTATAAATAATTTATATAGCAGTCTAGTCTGTGAGGATGGATTACAAAGATGCCTGTTTTCTGGAGAAGGAAATAATTCTTCCAGCTTCTTACAGAGGCAGCCCCAAATTTGATCAGGAGGACTGGAACAAGGGAAACCACAGACCTACTTGTTGCCTGGGCATGTGGTAGTGATGGACACACTCCAAGTGTTCCCTTTCCTTTGCTGTGGTCCCTAGATGCTTCTCTGAGATCCAGGTACATTCCCAGAGGGCCACATCACCCTAGCTGCCTCTGCCCTGCACTCAGAGGTACTATAGCAGTCCCAGTCCACTGGGAATATACAGAGGCTAAATGCTTACAATTTAATTTGGAAGAGATCTTTATTTACTACTTGATTTTCACTACATGTGGCAGTGCCCAGTAGGAGAATTCCACCTTCACGTCCTGCATTCCCTTCTAAAATCTGTTTTGAGTTCTGCTGTGAAGAGCTGGGAGCCTTGTTCAGCAGCCTATGTATAAACCCCTACCATAGAGAGGAGTCTGCAGCTTATAGGATACTGATTTGAGAAATGCTCGGGGTGGATCTTTGTGTGATGGTATCTGTCATGCTGTTTCTCACCTGCCAGGCCCACTGGAATTCAGAAGCAATCATCACTCGCTGTCCCACTTTAAGCCCATATTCAGCTTTAGAATCTCACTCTCCCTCCCAGCTAGCCTGGCCTCTAAAGGAATCAGGAATTAGTTCAAACATCTCCATTCTTAGCTGTCCCTCTCCCCTATTCTTAACCCTGATGTGACCTATTTTCTTCCCGCTCCCTTGACAAACAGGAATATCGTACTGAGTACCTGAGTAGGCATTACTTACGACAAGCCTCTTGCCACCTCATGAGGAACCTGCTCCTCCACCGGTGGCCAGCACTTGTAGGCAGCATCCTTGTCTTCTCCAGCGTGTCTTCACATCCAACAGCCAGCCTGCCACACAGCCCCAAAAGGAGAAGGAATGACCTTGTAGCCTGCCTGCCAGGTCCTGGAGTGAGAAAGCAGAGCAGAGCGGATGAGATTCAGTTCCCTGGCTGCAGAGCGTGGGGCTGGGCTCAGTGTTGTCCTTTCTCCTCCCCAGCTAGTGTGTTGCCTTTGAGGCATCATCTCTGTTTTGGAGGAGAAATGGAGGATGTTTCAGGAGGCACAGCATGTTCAAGGCTCAGTGTTAAATCATTTTGAACCTCACAGTGCAGAACTAAGGCCCGATTCACCTAAGTGCCAGAGAGAGAAGTTTGTGCTTGGATAGCCTGCCATGGTGGCTACATCAGCCTCATGCTCAAGGTTAGCCTGATGAATTGCTAAGGTGACCCTGCCAGGGCAGCAGACTCCAGCTCATTCCTGTCGCCTCCACGCTGGCTGGTACCACCTGTGCATCCTCTCCCTGACGCACGGCTCAGGCTCACGGAGATCTGGGCACCAGCGGCTGCCAAGCTGCTTTTCTCCCTCCCACCTCCCCCCCACACCCCCTCCCCGTATTCCCTGCCAGCACTTCCTGTCTGTTTTAAGGTAAAATGGATGTGGTGGCTAGAACAGCACAGCTTCAGCTTGGGGATTTCCCACTGCAGCAACTGCAGGAGCTGAAGAGCAAGCGAGCCTCGGAGGAGAAGGAGAAGGAAGGACCTGGGGCGGGGGAGACGGAGTGGGAGTGTTGAAAAGAGGGGAGTTGCATCTTAATTAGAAGAAGGAAAAATCCTCAGTCTAATTAGAAACCCAAAGACCATAAACTATCCCCTGACAATAAGTGACTGACAACAGGTTTCAACTTCCCTCCTGCTTCCCTTTTGGATACAAGGAGGCAGGAAAAAGGAAAACACCACGAACCCTTCTGTCCCCCTGCGTACTCTCTGACGTGCCATCCACAGTCGCAGCAGCAGTTAGATGGACGCATTTCAACCAGAGTACAGATATAAACCCTGCTCCATCCCCTCTGAGGGGCTCTGACAACATCCACAGCCATTATTTTAGCTGGGCAATGCACTCCCACCAGGACGCTCTCCCCACACACGTGCCAGGCTCCCCTACCCTCCCCCAGGCTCCCATGACTGATTTATTTTATATGGGAATGTAAACCACCAGAAAAAATATTTGAATTAGCATCTTGATGAGAATGATGAGCAGGTTCAGTGCCTGGACTAGTACATTTGCAAGGCTATTTAGATCACTTACCTAAATGTCAATGCACCAAATAGATTAATAGCTCTCACGGTACCGAAACTGGTTTGACCTTCACCCGCTGCAACCCCCCACTCCCCAAACTGAGCTGGAGCCCTTTCCCTGCAGCCCCCACTGAAGGAGAAGCCGCAACAAATAGCAGTCCCCATTTGGTGCTTGCGCTCGACCTGACTGAGGAGACTTTCAGCTTCCCCTATATAAATGTCTCCGTCCTAAATGCCACCCTGAAGTCTCCTTTCCTCTCCTGTCTGTATTGAAAAGGAGAATGAAAAGCCACAAGCACTTACCTGGAGAGGTTCTGCCTGCAGCCACTTCCACCTGATTCCCCAGACACTGCCCAATTACAGCCTCTTCCTTCCCTTTCCCTCCTTGACTTTCATTCCCCAGCAGCAGGCTTTCCGTGTGCTCTATTTAACTCCCTACAGCACTGGAATAAACGGCAGAGTTAAGCTGACAGCCACAGAGCCTTATCTGCCTGCTGGATAGCGCGAGTCGATCAGCTCCAAATCCTGTTGCCAAATGATCACGTCCTTGCTCTCAGCATCAGGGGCAGCCGCCTGCCACGCTCTGTCTTTCCCTCTTCCCCACCTTCACTCCATCTAACTTTTGTCAGGGTTATAGATAGCTCTGTTCCTTGTGCTCTTGCTTTTTGGCTCTGTTTTGTAACACCCCGTCTGTATCAGCTGGCTCACTTCCAATTGGGGGGCTAAGCTTTTTGGAAAAAAAAACCAAAACAAACCAAAAAAGCCCCAAACCAGCTTCCTTGGGTGCTTTGTGACTCGGTTTCCCTCTGTGATCTCCCCTCAGCCCAGGCCCCCTCTCAGGCCATGGGCTGGTGTCTCTCCCGCCCCGCTCGCTGCTCTGTGCAGTTCACCCACACCATCCCCAGGTGACAGTGGGGGGCTGAGGGCAGGACTGGCACACCCAGGCATGGGGATGGTGACAGGGTCAAGGTTTCTACCCCTAGATCCTTCTACTCTGGCAGGGCAAGTCCAGCTCTTGCACTGGTTTCTGGTACCTCACGGGCGCCTCTTTCTCTCAGGCAGCACCAAGGCTCAAGCAGAGAGTGCAGGGTGGGAGGAGCAGCCGTGTATAAATAAGCCCTTTCCCTATGTTTAGAATTTATTACAGTGCATAGTGATTAACACCTGTTCAGGCTTTAATGCTGTCTCCTGCACTGCAACATGCACAAAGATGGAGGGGCCTTGATAAACCCAAGATTATTTTAAAAGCATGTCACATACACGCAACACTCCCACCCCACAGATAGCAGCCACCCTGTGTGCACTCATACACGTGTTTCCAAGACTTCAAAGTGACTGCCTTCATGTACAAATGCACATATTCTAGTCCCCAATCTATCTTACATTTACAAATATGTGCACAGACTTGGGCTTGCACATGTGCTGGGGACTCTTCTGTAACCCATATTTATCAACCTCCATGTCTTCCACAAAACTGCCTGCTTCTCCAAGCATACCATATGCTCAGGTGGCAGAACAGTAGATTTGGAATAGGTAGAGGTTCTTGGCTGCTGAAGGGCAAAGCACAATGAGCTTCTGCATTTGTACCTTGAAGTAGAAGGTTTATGGAGAAATTTTAATTCCAAGGATCCGGAAAAAAAACAGTTTCTCCCACGCATTGACTGCCCATAAGCACATTATACCCTTAGTGATTAATATTCCACAGTCAGGAGAGAGCAAGGAAGCAGAGAGGATTTTTGAGGGTTTCTTTTTTAAATGCTTTCTCTGACTTATCTTGAGTTCTGACTTTATTAGGTGTTTTATTGTGGCCCAAGAGATGCCTTCTGCTCTGCAGAGCACCAGGCCAGCTGCACTCACTGCCAGTGCAGCACTGGGAACACCCAGTCCTGGGACAACCAGCACTTGCCCACACCTCAGTCCTCTCCACAGCAGCACCTGATCTGTCTGGCTGCTTTCAGCCTGACAGCCAGGGATTTTTTTCCAGCAGTGAACACTCTGCCAGACCTAGGAGTGCCCCCTGTGTGCCCCCAACTCAAGATGAGAGGCACCGTGCCGTTCCGAACCTGCCTGGCATTGCTTGGGTTTGGGGGCTCAAGGCTGATCAGCATTGCTGGAGCTCTGAATGCTCTGAAGTCACCCAAGTCACTCAAGGGCTCCAAAAACCAGGCATTAGTCTTTCTCCTGGGCTTACTAGATGGTTCCTTCTCCCTAGAGCAACATGTCAGCTGAATACCCTGTGATCCTGTGGGACACAGTGTCCAGAGCTTTCTTCCATGTACTTGGAGTTGCATGTCTTTTCCAGACTCTGGAGAAATTAACAGAGTAGCCTGTGGCACTGGTGATGCCCTTTTCTTCTTGTTCATATAGGACAGTAAAAGACAACTTTTTTAGTTTCAGCTCAAAGCAACAAAATGAAATCATCCATTTCTGGCCCATGGGCTCCAGTGGCCAAAAATACACTGAGTTGAAGTGCCACTTGGACATTTGGCCTGCTGTCAGACTCTAGAGGACTCTCTAATGAGGATTCCCCTAATTAGATTGAACAGGGAACTTTACTGCTGGGGCCAGGGAGTGGGGGGGGACGCAGAGGAGATTGTAATGATTTTGCAGCACTTGCCAGGGCATAAAAGCTGCAGCAGACACTACCCCTGTCTCGTGCTTTGCTTCTCTCTACCCAGTCACCAGTAATGTTTGCAGTATCACTCCAAAGCCTTAGCTTTTGTGGGTAGGGTCCCAAGGATCATGCTATGAGAGTGGGGAGGGTTTCAGTTAACTGCATCCACATACTGTTTTAGTAACACTTCCCAATTCTGTGGCACCTTCTATGCGAAGCTTTCCATTTGCTCTATGAATGGCTCTTACCATAGTTGTGGGTGGTGTTACTTTGTATTTCATGACCCCCAGAAGTAAGGCTGAGATAATAGCCAGTAGTGCCTCTGCTCTTGGCAGGTGGATAAAGTATTCCATTTTCCAGACAGCAACACTGAGGCTAGAGAGACAGGTGACTGTGTCACTAGGATGAGACACTGTGAGAAACAGAGCCCAGCAACTTCTGTCTCTGATTATCTCTCCTAGTCCTTTGCACTAACCCTTGGATCATGGCTCAGGGATCAGACTCCCTTAACAGCCTGGCTTATGAGCATTGGCAGGGCATGTGGGTGACCTATATTTCAGAAGGGTGGGTACCAGAGGCTGCAACAGATGCCAGCAATAAATTATCAGAAAGTATACACAGACGTTCATCCCTCCCCCACACTCTCCTTGATAGCAAAGTCCCTTTCCCCTTCCTGATGCTGAATTGCTTTAGCCTTTATCAGAAAAACAGCAGGGTAAGGGAGGGCATGGAGGACGCTTTAAGGAGATTATCTTCTTCCCTTCCCCTTTCCTTGTTGCTTTTAGGATTCATGTTTTATTAGTATCACCCCATAATGGAGGGGGACAGTGGTACCCCAGCACCCAGTGACTAAAGCATGTTATTCTATGCCTGTTCCTTTATCAGCCCTTGGGGGGCAAGAGTCACAGGCAGCAGGAAGAGATGTCAGCTGTGTGGCCTGATTAATACACCCCAAGTGGGTTCAGATGGCATGGAGATGATGCCCATTCTTGGTCCCCCAAGAGAACTAAGTTAGTCATGCAAATTATCGATCACGAGAGGTCACATTGTCGCAGTGACAGCTCTTCATTTGTCATCTATTTGGACTGCAAAAGCACACAGAGGTGGTAGCAAAGCTCAGCAGCACTGTAGAAACATGCAGTGTGTGTCACTGGCCCAATGAGCTTCTAAGCTAAATAGCTAAGGGCTTCATTTGCAGCACTTGCTGATTTATTAACACGTGCTCAGGATTCATTAGTGTTGTGCTGTCACAATCAATGGAAAGCACATTTTAAATTCATACGAAAAACCCAGCTGCAGAAGAAATGGTGCCCTCTGACTTGCAGTGATCAATCACAGCTAAGCAAAGCACCTCATACAGAAAGCTGTAAAGGAAGTAGAAAGCATGGAAAAACCGCTTGGTATTGTAAGGGACTCAGCCATGCTCCTGACTTGGTGTGAATAAAAACCACACCCTTTTCTCTGTGATGCGAAGAGGTCAAAAAGCTTCTGATTTTTGGATTGGCAATGTGTAGGCACCTCTGAAGTGCAAATGTGTTGATGGTAAAAAATATTTCCTCCCCAAGGCCCTCCAAGAAAGATCAAATTTATCCCCATATTATGGAGGGGCAAACTATGATACAGTAAAAATGACTGTTGAGTTTGGCTGGGTGAAATTTCAGCTGCCTTGCTTTTGATACTTCATCATGAGCCCACATTAGTTTCCCGCTCAGGATTTTCAAAGCTGTCAAGAGCAGCACTTGCACTTGGGCTTGTAAATACTCTCCTGTCCTGCAGAGAGTACTTGTAGGGCTTACCAAAATTACACAGAATAAAGGAGTTTTGGCCAGATTTTCTGAGAGTTTCCTGACAGGCCTGTGGCAAAAGCAGGAGAGAAGCTAGTTTTCTTGATTCCTCATTCTTAACCAGTACACATTATTTGCATCCCAAGCCTCCCTGAACAATGCACAATAATTAAACTGGAAGATGCTGGAGGGGCTGGAAATACCAAGGACATAAGGCCTCAGCAAACCCTCTGAGAAAGTACAGAGCATCTGAAGGGGAGCCAGGGAGGGTAGCACTGCTGGGAAAGACCCAGATTGCTGTGGAGATGTGGAATTCCTTGGGAAGCTGTGGAAGCAGGTGCGGAGACCAGGATATCCAACACAGGAGTGACAGGAAAGTCCCAGCACAGTGTGAGTGTGGCATATGGAGGAGGCCCAGAGCAACAGCAGGAGGGGAGCTGAGGGGGCAGTTGACAGGAAGAAATCCAGCCCTGTGTGTGCCAGCATCTTCTCCAAGTATTATTGAATGCGACAGACCACGTGCATGTCTCCTCCACGCCAAACGGAGGCAGCTGAGGAGGCAAGCGGGCGAGGGAGTGGGAGAGGGGCTCAGAGGAGGGACACGTGAGTTGACTACCCAGTTTCCTCCTCTTTTTCTTTCCACAGAGTGATGTTTTTGCTCTTCTCACACTGTTGGCAAAAATTGGTAACCGAGATGTGGAGGGGGGTTCTACATGAAGGTTGAGATAACATTTTCTGATCCAGCCGGGAACAGTTGGCTGTGGGTGGTGGCTTGTCACCAGCCCTGCCAGTTCTAATCCAGATCCCAGTTTTTCTCTTTCTCTCAGCTGTGAAGAGCCTTCTCTGCAACTTTAATTTCCTGCAGGGGTTAATCCCATGGACAGTGGTAGCTCAGGCCCTTAATCCTTTCGCTCAGTCCCTTGGCAGAAGGACTGCAGCTGCTCCTGACCTGGCAGGTCTGAGGGAGGCACCCTTCTGCTCCCAGTTCCTCCTTTACACCCCACAAGCATCCTCCAGCTCACTGGCATTTAAAATGCTGCTCCCCCCTTCCTGGCAAGCCTACCCTGGGGGTGTGGGTGGGTGGTACAATCCAGGGAAAGGTTCCAAGCAGAGAAGACAGCTTGATGGGAGAATCCTGGTTCTTTGGTCCTCAATCCCCTTACCACTGCACACACAGGTATTTTCTGCACTTCTTAGTTGAATGGTGCTCTGAATCCCAAAGTATTCTCTTTCTTGTTTGTATTTGGGTGGTGTTCAAGAAGGAAGGTAGGTATAGGCCCACATTTATTAAGGATTCTCTGAGGGCTCGGGACTTTTGACATGACCCGGTACCTTCCCTGGGTCTCTTACTAGAGTCAAAGGATGCAGCAGAACTTTAAGAGGAAAGGTGCCAGTCTGTCTGAGATAAAAGATATGTTTACATGCACAGAGCAGTAGATGGATGTGCATCAGTTTAGCAGCAAGATAGGAAAATATAAGGTTTTTAGTCAATACAAGCTCTCAGTTCACAGTCCTGTCCCTGGAGTGCTAGGCCAGAAGTCTAGCCCGAACAATATGGCCAGACTGCCAAATCCAGGGGCTTCCAAATCAACACCAAGAAACCCCTCTTATATCTTATGGGGGCCAAGGCACTTCAGCCATAAGCTTTTCTCCTTGTGGCTTCTCATTCCTAAAATGAGGTGAGATTCTGCAAGCCTAGGTGATCTCTTGCACCCAAAATGCCCCACACCTGCGTTTGCCATCGTTCATGTCTGCATTAGCCCAAAAACTGCCTTTGCCTTTTTCTATACCCTGTATTCTGAAATACACCAGAACTTCCAGCTCACTGGCCTTCCCAGTGCTTGACTCTTGTTACTCTTCCTTCTTGTGGAGATGCCAGTGTGGTGAACTGCTGCCACCCACGCTGCTGAGTGAGGGAGTCCCTCCCCCTCTCCGTCACTCACCACCTTGGCTGTGCTTCCCCGGCTGCCAGGCTCCCAGAATGAGACCACCAGCTGCAAGGGCAGTGTCTTGCCACTCCGGCAGTTGGGGCAGGAAGAGAGAGAGAGGAGGTAGAAAACACAGTCCAACAAGGGAAGAACTTCCCCACCGTCTCACAAGCCTGTGCCCTGGGCACGTTCACAGGGGCAGGGATCATCCATCCATGCGCGCACATTGCTGGGCCAGAGCGCAAGATGCCAGCAGTAAAATTCCTCTCAGCTCTTATCAGCCAGGGGATCAGTGACCCAGCACGCACAGGGCTCCTGGCAAACCTGCCCAGGAAAGGCCACTCCCACTGCTCACACACGATGCGTTTGTGCTGGACTCTGAAGGAGTCCTCTTTCTGCCTCGGTGGGTTGCATAGATCTGTCTCACTTGGTTGCCACTGTGGCATGAGGTTGTTGGTGCTGCCTGTTAGAGAGAGCCTGGAGCTCTTCTGCTGCCCCATCACCTTCCCAGAGCACCCAAGAGGGGCAACCCTGCAAAGTCCACACAAACTGTATGGGATCTGAGCTGCTGCCTGCAGCTCCAGGGGTGCCTGCAGATCTCTGGGACACAATTATGCTCTTTACAAGCTGGGAACACTGCCCATAGCTCAACAAGATGTGGTGACAGCTCTTACAATCCAGAGTTCCAGCCAGGATCTTTGGATGCATCTGGGTTAGCACACAGATCACAGCCTCATGCTGCAGGGCTTGCTGAATCTGAGGAAGGTCTTCAAATTTGATGTGACTTTAGTTTTCTGGAGGGTTTGCAGCCACAGAAGAGATAGGGTTATGGCAAAGATCACATCCCATCAAAATCACTAGATGCAAGTGGTGTGGAAAGAGCAGGGCCCACCTTCAGCCCCTCTACCCCAACACAGGTGCCTCACAGCCAAATCACAGCAGCACCCTGCCCTGCTTTGGGCAGCACTGGCAATAGAGAGCCTCACCAGGAGTGGAGAGAGAGCCCAAGTGATGAGTGCCAAGTCAAGTTGTCTCTAACAGCTCTTCTCCAGACTCAGGATGTGGTCCTACTTTTTTATTCCTTGTGTGAGAGCATGGTTCATGGGGAAGGAGTCTTCCCGGCCTCCTTGAAGTGAGGAGGATTATGGTAGCAGGGCCTGTCTTCCAAGTAACAGCTTTTGCTTGCAGTCAGTCGGGAGGTTCTGACTTGTATGGCCCTGCTGTAAATTTAAGACTCAGTCCTTCCTGTGATGGGTTTGGGGCATTGTAGTGCATAAATAACAGAAAGTCTCTTGTTTTCCCATTCATAAAGAAGAAGAATCAAAAAAGTGACATTTTACTTTAAAAAAAAAAAAAACGTAATAAAATATGCTATTTGGCTTGCAAAGCCAAGCACTTAAATGTGAGATAATACCTGCCCAGTCTTCATTCAGCCACTTGCATGTCTGCATCACAGCACTGCCTTTGCTTACCCAACCAAGTACTATTTCTTTTTTTTCACAGTACCCCATCCCATACTCAGTGCAAAGGACACATGATACTCAAGCTAACAATAAGGATGCTGTAATAAATAAGGCTATTTTTATATGGTCGGAATTGAATATTAAACCACAGTTTTGGCAGGAGGCCACAGTCTGTACATTCCTAATTTTGCGGGTGCCCAACACAAGACCCTAGGGGCCATTTTGCAGAACTGCTGAACACTCACAGCTGTTTTTCAAAATGCTGGCAGCTTAGCCAGCAAACTGGTCTCAAGGATTTGATGGCACCGAGAGCCAAGAGGCCCCAAGCTCCGGCCCTGCACCTGCTGCTCCTTCCCTGTATGGGTAAAGCGGAAGTCTCTTTTCCCTTCAAAAGCAAGGAAAATAACCACTCTCTTGCCTCGTGAGGAGCATAAATTCTCTATCATCAGCTACAAGGCAACTGTAGCAGCTAACATCTTCAGAACACCACAAGACAATGAATAATGATGTATTGCCTCCAGGGCTTGGATGGCAGGCAGTAAACAAATAAAACGGGTGCACACTTTGCAGTACCGAAAAAAAATAACAGCCCCCTGCTTCGCTCCTTGCACACCATGTAGCCAGTACCCTGAATGATCAGCTCATGAAAATACAGCATGTCATCCCACCAGTCAGGACTGCAACCCAGTGCAGATGGCACGTTGCCCCCAATCCCGACATTTTCCAACTTTCAACTGCTTTTTTTGCAATGTGAATAATATAATGCACATAATCCCACCCCTCAAAGGCAAAACAATTTTTCCTTACATCTCTTGAGTCTGGAATTTAACTGGTTTATAGAAAAAGTGCACATCTTCTTGCTATTTTCATACCCTCGGTCACACAAAGCTTTTTTGTGAGCCAGCATTTTGGTAAAGCCACAGCAGGCATAAGGTATGTGTTACAAGGTATTTCCATGTTTCCACACTGCAGAAGGAACATCCCAGAACTCCCACTCCAGCTCCTTTTCCACTGAGAACTGGAGTGTGTGTCGTGGTGTAGCTTGCTGAAACATTACCCAGCTGGCAGGAGCATCCCAGTATGGTCATTTGATTTGTGGGCTTGAGCCACCCAGGACTGGGACAGATGTCAAGCGGTGTGAGCAGCTGCTTGTAACCAAACATGGCAAGTGCAGGAGACTGCCTGGTCTGTCTTTTGAATCAGCAACCGGCGAGTGCTGAAGAGTCACCAAAGAACTGCCCGGAAATGCCCTTCCACAGGCTTGAGCCTGTCCCCATCCTATTCCAGCCTCTGTTGCTCCTTGAATGCTCCTCTACAGATATCCTCATGGCCCTGTGCTACTGCTGGGCATCCCGGCTCTACTGAGACATAGGTCTGCTTTCATCAGGTTTCTGTGGTGCTGAACAGCCTAGAAAATCCTTTCTGTACCAGGCTTAAAAAAAAGGCCAGAGGAAGGGCAGGAAGCTGGAGTAACTCATGAAGATATCCAAGCTGAGAGTGCACCTTGCTAGCATGTGGCATTCACTTTGCTGGAGGCAAGGGTAAAGCTATGATCTGGTATAAAAATTATATAAGAAGGCTTCTCCTCCTTTCTCTTTGCAAACAGCCCCTTTGCTCAGGATTTACCATAATTCCTCCAAGTGGGCAAGATGCACTAACAGAGGCAGCACTGATGTCTGACAGGGAGACAACTCCCGCAAGCCTTTCGCTCATGTGGAATAATTCCCTTGCAAATGTTGTTTGCCCACAGCAGTTAGAGGAAGATCCACCCCCTCCCACCCCCAAACAGACCTGAGCGAAAAAGCTCAGAATAAAAATGGTCTGCAATTCTGGAAAGGCTCCCTCACTTCTAGAAATGTCCCCTGCTTTAGGACAAGTGCCTGTGTGCCTTTGAGGGTTCCCCTGTCTTTTAAGGGTTTCCTTCTTTAAACTCTGCAGCAGCAGCTGCTCCAGTCCTTTCCCAAATGAGATCTTAATTTCTCTCTCCATCCTGCAGGTCAGGCACCAGCAGCAGAGCAGTGCTGTACCCTGCTC